ACATTCCCACTGTCCCAGGCTGCTCTGAGCCCTGTCCAGCCTGGCCTTGGAGCAGGGATCCAGGGGCAGCCACAGCTTCTCTGGGCAAATTCAAGTATTTATAGATAAGATTTAAAATATTCTTTTAAATGGATACTTAGAGTCACATTGGCAACTGAAACCATTATAAACTGAGGAGTCCCCACCTACAACGTTTTACTGCAGCCGTGTGTAATTTCTCCTGGTTTTTCCAAGCCCCACGCTGTGCCAGGGGAATTTTAGGTTGAATTTCAGGAAGGGTGCTGGTGACTGCCCAGTCTCCCAGGGGGAACGGTGACATTCCCGACGCTCCAGCAGCGTTTGCCCACCCAGGATGCGACAGCGTGGAATTGTTGGGATGTCTCCGCAGGGCCAGGAGCTGCGCTGGCTGATCCAGCTGCGGGAATTCCGTGTCCCTGTGCGTGCAGCACATCCCGACATGGCCGAGGAGAACGAGGAGCTGCCGGCGGACGAGGAGCTGCCCGCGGCGGCCGAGGAGGGCTTTGAGCAGCTGGAGAACGACAGCCCCGCCGAGCGCAGCGGGCACGTGGCCGTCACCGACGGGCGCTGCATGTACGTCTGGGGAGGATACAAGGTACAGCTCCCCGGCACCCGCCGCGCTGGGAATTGTGTCCCATCCATCCGGGAGTGACTCTGGGAAATTTATTCCTCCCCCGGAACACGGGCAGCAGCTCCGGCGAACAATTTTTTTTAACGCGGCGTTCGGGGTGTTTTGCAACGTTGAAATAAATCACGGGTGTTAAAGCTTGGCAGATACATGGATTTTTGGGGCGGTGTTTGCCTTTGGCAAAGGGTGAAGGGAATATTGTCTGATTGCAATTGTGCACCCTGGGAGTGGTGATTTTATTTGCACAACTCTCCCAGGTTTGTTGTTGTCACACTGGAGTGCTGCAGCACCACAGAATCATTTCAGTGACAAAACCATTGTCAGTGAACTCAGAAAATAAACTGCTGTTATGGAAGGGGTGGGGGAATGCAAAAGGAGCTTTTGGCTCATTTCTGCTCCCTGGCTGAGGCTATAAAACAAAGGTTTAACTTCATTTACCCTCCTCTGGCTCTGCTGGGAGCTGATTGTCCCCAGCAGGTACTAAATGAGGCTGTGCAGGTGGGAGGCACAGGAGTGTGGGAAGCACAGGCACTGCTCCTGCTGTGATTTGTGCTGTGATCAGGTCCCAGAGGGGGTGCAGACATTCCCAGGAGTCTGTAATTCCACGTGTTCTAACACTGCTGTTCCTTCTCTGATCTGTCCTGCAGAATGCCCAGGTCCGGGGATTTTATGACTTCTACCTGCCTAGGGATGAAATATGGATCTACAACATGGAAACTGGAAGATGGTACAGTAAATCATTCATTTGGGGAAAAAAAATGGATAAATCCTTAAATTGGTGTGGAAACCATGCTGAAGGACTGAGCAGGGAGAGAATTCCCTGATCTCTTTGTTCCCAAAAATGTGTAAAATATTTCATGTTTGGTTTTTTTTTCTGTGAAAGCATCCAATATGTTTTTCCAGTATGAAGTAGGAGAGGCAGCTGGGACAGGCAGCCTGGATAGGAGTTTGTGACCAACAATGTGAGATATTTTGGGATTCCTGGGATAGGATAGAGCAGCTGGAAATTATGTTTGTATACTTTTGATGGTAGCAGTGATCAGGGGATCCCTGTTGAGTTTTTGGCCTTTGCAGGAGCTGTTTTTAAAGGCTGATGCAGCCAAAGAATCCCACTTTGCAGGAAGTGGGGTTTCAGCCATGCTCCCAGCCCTCCCTGGGGTCAGGGACAACCTTGGGCACGGGCTGGAATCTCCTCTCTGTGCTTATGATGTTTACAAACAGCAAAAATCCAGGAGCAGAGTGGAAACCTGCACTTTACACGGGTGAATCCTCTTTGCCTGAGGATTCTGAGCATTCCAAACTCCTGAGCTGGGCAGATGGGATTCCAACTCCCAAAAAACCCCTATATTAACTAAACTGCCTTTTCCCCACCCCTCCATCATAACAGGCTATGAATTGTTACACCTGAAAAGATGGGAAGAACAGATTTGAATTTCCACAGATTAAAACCCTGCAGATAAACCCATCGTCGTTGACTTGGAGCAGGTGAAATATTCCACCCTGGTTTTGCAGGAAGAAGAGCAAGACAGAGGGAGATGTTCCCCCCTCCATGTCTGGCAGCTGTGCCGTGTGTGTGGACAGAGTTGTTTATCTCTTCGGGGGGCACCACGCCCGGGGCAACACCAACAAGGTCAGGAATTCCTCAATGCCTTCTTTTCCCATGGAATTGTGCCCTGGAAACTTCCCAGCACTGCAGGAACAGCCCGAGCTGGCTTTGCTTCTGTCCTTGTGCAATCCCCCTTAGCAATTGGATTGTGTCCCTGCCTCTGAGTCTGCTGATTTTAAAAGATGGGAATTGGCAGAATTGTCTCAATAATATCAGGAGCTGATCTGGGGTGGCTGGAAGTGTTTCTCTTCCCTGGAGTCTGTGGTAATCCCAAAATCATTAAGGTTGGAAAAGTCCTCCAAGATAGTGACTAACCACTACCACTTCAGCTAGAACTAATTAATGATATCTTCTGATAGTCTGGCAATATGGTTTAAATTAAATAGTTCTGGTTTATATAAATATGTAATTTATATAATTAAATAAAATATTTTCTATTTCATATGTAACTATAAATGGAAGGAGTTTGAAGGAATTTTTGCAGACAGTTGGAAACAAACCTCATTTGTAAGGTGTGATTTCTTCCCTTCCTGCTGTGGCATTCTTACATTTCAGTTCTTGTATGTAAGTGTAGCAGCTGGTTCTCTTCCTGGACAATTATATAAATGCAGAGAAGGGGTAATACTGTAAAAAATGTCACTTTGTAAACTTTTTAAACATTTTTTTAGTTGTAAGACAACTGTGCTCTGTACACCCCTTCATTGTATCCCACAACAGCTTTTGGATGCTGAAACTCAGTGTCCATAACCCTGTTAGTGGTGTAAAAGGTGTTTGAGTCTGCCAAAAGGTCAGGATTTGTGAATCCATATTTTGTTGCAAATATTTTGGGTGCTCTACTTTTCAGCTAGGAAAAGAACTTTTCATTTATTCCTATTTCTATACCAACACGTGTTAATTTAAAGTTGCTGTTTTAACAGCAGACTTAAGCTTTAAGTTGACCATGAGTTAAAAAAAAAAAATCTCTTTATTTTCCCAGTTCTACATGTTAAATGCCAGATCCACAGACAAGGTGCTGCAGTGGGTGAGAGTGGAGTGCCAGGGGGTGCCCCCCTCGTCCAAGGACAAGCTGGGGGTGTGGGTGCACAAAAACAGGTGAGGCCTCAGGAGGGCTCTGCTCTCTCTTGGATTCCTCCTCCTCCTCCTCCCTGCAGTCACCCTGAGGCTGCCTGGGAATGTTCCCCTGGAGAGGAGAAGGATCCAGGGAGAGCTGAGGGCACCTAAAGGGGCTCCAGGAGAGCTGGAGAGGGACTGGGGACAAGGGATGGAGGGACAGGACACAGGGAATGGCTCCCAGTGCCAGAGGGCAGGGATGGATGGGATATTGGGAATTCCTGGCTGGGAGGGTGGAGAGGGGCTGGAACATAATTCCCAGATTTGCTGTGGCTGCCCCTGGATCCCTGGCAGTGCCCAAGGCCAGGCTTGGAGCATCCTGGGACAATGGGAGGTGTCCCTGCCATGGCAGGGGTGGCACTGGATGAGATTTAAGGTCCCTTCCCACCCAAACCATTGTGGTGATTTGGGAGTTTTATTTCTTGTGCTGCTTTGGCCACTCCATGGAGAGAGCTCCCAGTTGGGAGATTTGCTGTGGGATTTGCTGCAGAGGAAAGGTGGGAAAATCCTCGTGTGTCCCTTCCAGCTGGGGACACTCTGTGATTGTGTGGAATTGCCCACAGTGCTGCTTTTCCAGGTCCTTGCTGTGGGGAGTGAGCTCCTCATTGGCACATCTGATAGGAGCAGTTCAGATGTGAATCTGTGCAGGGCTGCACTTGTGGGTGGTTAATGAGGTGCTGCACATTTCTGGCCCTCCATAATCCTGTAGGAATTTCTGGCAAAGCCATTCCAGTTTCAAACACAGGCTAAACCCCAGAGATCAAACTTGGAGATAATTCCCATTTAAACTCCAGGAGAACAGAGTGGCAAAGGCCAAAGTGCAGTGACCAGGCTGCACACCCTGGCAGCTTCATAGATTTGGAAGTGGAGCAAAGTTTGGGAGCCTGAGGCTGGCAACAGCTCCAGAGGGATTTGATGTAGGTGGGAGGCAACAAACAAAGCCCCACACCTGGAAAACCAAAGGAGCTTCCCTGGTTTTCTGAGCACAGCATTTATATTTATATGTACATTTATGTTTTTTAACTTTTAATTTATAATTTGTAATTTATAGTAACAGATATGACAGAATTTCTCACAGCTCTTGATCCATGTTTTCCTCCAGGCTGATATTTTTTGGAGGCTATGGCTATTTTCCTGAAGGGAAACAACGTGGAACATTTGAATTCGATGAAACTTCTTTTTGGGTAAGTAACCCTGGAAGCCATTTCTGTTTCAGCTTTTCATATTTAATCAGTGCTTGTTAAAACTTGTTGTTTCTTTATGGTTTTTTGGTTTTTTTTTTAAAGAATTCAGGTCTTCCTAGAGGGTGGAACGACCACGTGCACGTTTTGGACCTTGAAACTTTCACTTGGAGCCAGCCTATAACCACGGTAATTAATGGTTTGCTGTCAGTTAATTAAGTCACAGCTCAGTAATGTTATTTAGGAGTGTTCTTGGAGCCATTTCCACTGAATTGAAACCATTCATTTAGACAGATCCACTCTACAAAAAGAGGAAATTTGCTTTTTCTTTTGATCTGTCTTCATCTGTTTTTTTTCCTGTCGCTTGCTTTGGTTGATGTTTCAGCTGCAGGACAGAGGAATGTGTGGTTTGCTGCCACCCTCACTGCCAGGGGATGGTTGGTGCCTGTCCCTGGGGTGCTGGATTGTGGTCAGGAGACAATTAAACAACTGCTGATTGCAAATATACTCATTTGGATTGTCCCAGGAGTGTTCAGGAACAGGGAAATGGGCTGGTGTTGCCACAGGGTTGGAGGAAAGGAAATATGAGACAAGGAACTCCAAAGATTGCCAAGGAATTGCTCTGATTGCTTCACAGAGGTCTCAAGTAGTTCAGAAACTCAAGAAAAATGGTGTTTAATGGAATCCCAGGAGGATTTGGGTGGGAAAGGACCTTAAAACTCATCCATCACTCCTGCCATGGCAGGGACACCTTCCACCATCCCAGGCTGCTCCAAGCCCTGTCCAACCTGGCCTTGGACACTTGATGATTTATGAATTTAAGGATTTATTATGTCACTATCTCATTTACAGTCTTGTCTTCTATGGGTGAACCCTGTGCTAAAAGCAAAATTTATGCACTTCAAGAGGGGAAAAATAAACCCCATTTTTAATGAGTTCTCTGATCTTCCATCCATCAAAAAACCCAAGTCTGCACACAAGATTTATTTACTGGCTTTGTTTATTCACTCTGCTCCTTGCTGGCCTTAAATCAGAGTTGAGCTGAGCCTGTCCTGTGCTCTGGTGACTGATCTGTGCTGTCCCTGTCCCTTCCCAGGGCAAGACCCCATCCCCTCGAGCCGCCCACGCCTGTGCCACGGTTGGAAACAGGGGTTTTGTGTTTGGAGGCAGATACAGGGTAAGGCCACCCCCTTGAGCCTGTGCTTCCCAAACCTCCCCAGGAGATTCAACCACGCTCTGCTCTGTTCTAGGAGTCCAGAATGAACGATTTTTACTACCTGAACCTGGACACCTGGGAGTGGAATGAAATGTGAGTGCTCAAACTCGATCAGTGTAAAATTCTCTGTGTCTAAAGGTGTTGGGAAGGAGAAAGATTTGACAGGAAAGTCTCACAGATGTGGGTGTGTAACACAAAGATCTTTGAATGTAGAATCTGAAGAAGGAATAGAAATGAAAGCGAATTTTGATATAGAAGAAAGGAATTGCTGAGCCAGTCTGACTGGATAACTAAGAAGCCAAAAGGTAAAATGAGTTAGAAGGGGCTTTTATAACTCAGAGCAAAGGATAAATCCACCTCAAACAAAAAATGTTTTTACCAAGCAAAAAGATTTTCACAGGCAAACAAAAATGCCATGTAGCAAGTAGAAAGAAAGATCTCAGAATTTTCCACTGGAAGAAAACTGAAAAACAACTTCCAGCTTAAACTGTAACACACTAACGTTTTGTGATTGGAAAATGGGAACATGAATATGGAAATGTTAGTAGTTATGACAGGCTATAGGTAATAGTAAAGATATTGATTGGTTGTTATTTATTAAAAGAAAAGCATAGAATGCATTGTAACAGAACTAGAGTGGCTTCAGACAAACCCACAGCTGAGGTGACAGGTGTGGGCTGGGCTCTGTCACCCAGGACCCGTGAATTGCTGAATCCTCTGGATACAATAAACAGCATTTAAAATAATAAATAAATTACTGTATGCTCTGGGTACAATAAACAGCATCTCAAAGAGCCACCTGAAATCCTGTATCCCTGTTTCAGCTCTTACATAAAGGAATTAAAGTTGTCCTTAGGTCACTGCAGATACCTGAAAAATAAAGAGAGCAGGAAAGAGCAGCAGGATTTTGCTGTCCCTCTGGTCATTTAGGATTTATTTTTATTTAATTTATTTTTATTGCAATCCAGACTCACCCAAGGCATCTGCCCCGTGGGCCGATCGTGGCATTCCTTAACGCCCATTTCCTCGGATCACCTCTTCCTCTTTGGAGGATTCACCACGGACAAGCAGCCCCTGAGTAAGTCATTCCAAAGGGATTTGGTGGTGGCTTTGTGCTCTGGAACAGCTCTGCACAGGAGCTTGAATGATTGCCTTGAATTCCTTCTAAATTCCACTCATGTGCTCCAACTCCTCATTCCACAGAGCCAGGAGGGTGTGGAGACACCAGAACTTCCAACAATTCATCTGCTCTAAAAATGTATCTAAAAGTGGAAATTGAAAGTAGTGACAGCTTTACAATTCACCTTCACCCCCATAACTCTCTGCTACATTAAACACCTGTTGTCAAACAGGAGCCAATTTTTACAAGGTTTTTCCTAAAATATTTGATTTATCTAAGAACAGAAATGGGATGTGCTACACCAGAGTATTTGTACATTACAGCAGCTTACAGAACTGACAGAATCCTGTTTTTATCTGGGATTTTGCTTATTTTCAGGTGATGCCTGGATTTATTGTATCAGCAAGAACGAGTGGGTACAGTTTGAGCATAACTACTCTGAAAAACCAAGGTATGACAGAAATTCCCTGGAAATCTGGTACTAAAGGGCTGTGGAAGCAGCTGGTGGTGGCTGTCAGAGGACACTGGTTCCTCCTCACAGCTCTCCTTTCCCCTGTGTCCCTGAGGTGCAGGTGGTTATGTGCTCCCAGAATTCCAGGTGAGGGCCACACAGGGCAGTGAAACAGCAGGAAACACAGGATTTAGGGTTTGTTTTCAGGATTTAGGATTTGATTTCAGGATTTAGGGTTTGTTTTCAGGATTTAGGGTTTGTTTTCAGGATTTAGGGTTTGATTTCAGGATTTAGGGTTTGATCTGGCTGCAGAGCACTCCGAACTGTGAGTGCCAGCACAGAACCTGTGTCCTTGCTGTGCCACCACAGGCACTGGGCTGGTGTCACCCAGGTCCTGCCAGAGGCTCATCCCATGCATACCCAGGGCTGTTCTTGGCTTCCTGCTGAGGAAATAGGAATTGGTGACCTGCAATTTAAACCCTAAAAACCTCTGTGATGCACGAGTGTCATGTGGAAAACCTGAGTCTTCCTCCCTCTGGTTTGGGAAGTGATCTGAGCCAGGTTAAGGAGTTTAAAGCACTGATGCTTCCTGGTTTTCTTCCTTTGGCCTGGCTGGGAGGAGAAACGAGCAAACTCTTCCCAGAGCTGGGATTTTGGGTTAATGCAGTGCTGCTTTCTGTTCCCAGGCTGTGGCACACGGCCTGTGCCAGCGAGGAGGGTGAGGTGATCATCTTTGGGGGCTGTGCCAACAACCTTCTGGCCCATTCCAAAGCTGTGAGTTGGTTTTGAGCTTCCCTTTCCCACGGCGTCTGCAGGGTTGGATCACTTCAGTGTCCTGATCTCGTGGGGATCACAAAGGTGCACAGACAAAGCCTGAGGGGGAAATGCTTTGCTCCTGTCCCAAATCCCTCAGGGCAGATGTTTCAAGCCTTGGAAACCTAAAGGCTTCCCCCAGTGTCCCTGGCCAGGGCAGGTTGGAACGGGATGAGCTTTAAGCTCATTTTGGGGTTCCCTGCTTCTATGATTGTGTGAGCCTGGGCTGCTCTGGCTCCTGCTGAGACCCCACAGAACCAATTCTCTCTCTGTCTCTCTCCCACCCTCCAGGCTCACAGTAATGAAATCCTTGTGTTCTCCTTGCAACCGAGATCTCTTGTAAGGTAAGAGAGCAAGACTTCAGCGTGGAGCTGTTGTGTCCCAGCTTAGCTGGCAGGAGGAAATTCCTGGGAGAGGGGGGAGGCCCTGGATCCCTGGAAGTGTCCCAGGCCAGGCTGGACAGGCCTTGGAGCACTCTGGGATCGTGGAAGGTGTCCCTGCCCATGGAAAAAGGGTGGAATGGGATGGGATTTAAGGTCCTTAAATCCCATTCGGGGATTCTAAAACAAGTGGGGCAGGGTTACCATTAGACCTGTTCATGTTCCTAAAATACTGGAAAACATTTCTGCCTCTACCAAAGCTACCAGAGCAGCAGCCAGGGGTGAGGGGGGAGGATTCAGCACCTCTGGCTCTGCTGCGAGGCACGAACAGCCTCATCCCTGCTGACAGCAGCCCTGTGTTGCAGGCTGTGCCTCGAGGCTGTCATTTGCTTCAAGGAGATGTTGGCCAGCTCGTGGCACTGCCTGCCCAAGCACCTCCTGCACAGCGTGAACCAGCGCTTCGGCAGCAACAACACCTCGGGCTCCTGAGCCCCCGGGGCACGATTAAAGAAAGGTGTGTGCTCCACCCTTGTGTGTAGGTAGTCGCTTCTCGCCCTCCCGTGCATGTGAATGAGAGAACCTATTTTTGTGTGAGATGTTCCAATAAATGTATTTAATGCCAGAGGAGATGAGCCTGAGCTTAAGCTGCAACCAGGTCTGGCGTTGTGCACCCCGAGGGGGTTGAGGCCGACCCCGAGAGTGGGGGATGTCCATGGGGACAGGAGCTGGGAATGCTGAGCACACCAGGGCTCTGGAGTGTTGCTTTAGTGGAGGCTGCAGGTCGTGTTTAGTCCACAGCTTCACGTTTTGCCACAGATGCTTAAGGTCAGAGAAGCAGGATCTGGAAGTTGTCCCGTTGTTGGTCGATAAACTGTTGTAAACCTTGAGATGTTAAAGCACCACTACTCTCTGCTTGGCTGTAGTTTGGTTTTTTGGTTTTTTTTTTTTTTTTTTTTTGAATTTTTATGTTGTGGAACTTCAATTGTGAACCTTAGGTAGCAGATATTCTGCCCTGCAAGTGTAACTGAGAGTGCTTGTGCCTGTTCCCAGCCCCGCGGAGCTGCCCTGGCCTGCAGCAGCCCCAGGGATGTCCCCAGGCTGCAGGGCCATGGAGGGCTCTGCGGGGACACGGGGGGACAGGGCCAGGCCGTGCTGCTGTGGGGAAGGGGGGAGGGGGATCATGTTTTAAGCTGTCTTCAAAAACCAATTAAAAACGTTGACTTCTAGAACAATTCCTGTGCTGTAATTCCTGAGAAATCCCGGGGGTTTATTCTGACTCCCAGCCCTGCTCTTCTCCCCTCCACAGGGGCTGGGGGGAGCTGGGCCTGCACCTTCCCTCTTTCCACAGCCAGGGAATGTCTGGGGGGAAACAATTCCACCTTCCCAAAGGAAGCATTCTCACTGGAACTGAACACCCAGGGCTTTTCCTGCCCCGAATTCCAGCGCCTTTCCCCAGGAATGAGTCCTTGAACAGAGAAGCAGCAGCAGGGGAGGACATTCCTGACCAAATGCCAGCAATTTACTTCCACATTTATCTGCAATTTGTATTAAAGTCCAGCTGAAGCAGCAGGAATGCAGGTCCTGGGTGCTGGAATTCAGTCCTGCTGTGGGTCTGTGTCTGTCCCAGGCCCGGGTCTGGTTTGAGGGTGAGAATGGAATCACTTCTTCTTCATGTTCTGGAGGTGAGGTGCAGACACTTTCACCTTCCCAGGAATATTTCTTGACAAATCGGTGTCCTAGGAAACAGGGGAGAGGACAAAGTGACCACAGCAGGAAAACCTTTCTGGAGCACTGGATGATCCCTTTCCTTGGCCCTGGTGAGCAGCTGGCTGGGACAGAGGGGCACAGGACACTTCAACCTCAACTCCAACTCCTGCCCCACGCGTTCCCCCTCCCAAACCCAGAGGGTTTCTTGGAAGATGCTTTTGTCAGACCAGTGACACAATGCAGAAACAAAAGGCCCAGCGCTGCCTCTGAGGCTCAGTTCCTCCTGTCCTTCCCAGCCCAGGCTGCACAGCGTTCCCAGAGAACCTGGGAAGTGTCCAGAGCCAGGCTGGACAGGGTTTGGAGCAGCCTGGGACAGTGGAAGGTGTTTTAAGAAGGTGTTTTAAGAAGGTTTTTAAGATCCTTTCCACCCCAAACCCTTGCAGGACTCTCTGACCTTCCCCAGGAGTACTGAGAAACTCCACTGCTAACAAAAACCCAACAGCACACTGACTTTGGGCAGCATTTCCTCCCACACTGGCACTTGTGGACATTGTGCTGCTGCTGCTGCTTTGCACAAGGCAATGCTCACCTTCACACTACGGAACAGATCCTTCTCTCGTGCACTGGCCTCTTTGGACTGCATGAAATTGTGCAAGGCAATCTTGGCAGCTGGAAAAACACAGGCAAGAGTGAAACAGGCTGGAGAACCACGTTGGCTTCAGCAGGCAGAGCACAGGGAAGGACTCGGGGCTCTCATACCTTTGCCCTTCTTCTGGGTGCCTGGAGTGAGCTTGACTTTATACCTGCCCAAAGGAAAGGTTTCTGTAAATAAAACAAACTCACCACATCCCCTCCCAGGCAGGAGCTGCCACTCACTTGTAGTTGGTCATGGCTGTGTAGGGAGCACAGATGGGGACAGCAAAGAGCAGGATGTCCTCGGGGTGGGGCTGCCCAGTCAGGGAGTCCAGCAGGGCCTCGCTGTCCTGCGAGACAAAGATCTCCACTGGGACCAGCCCTTCCAACCCAAACCATTCCATGGTTCCATGAGCATGGAATTCCCAAGCCAGGATTTGTGCCTGATCCTGTTTCATCACTAAAATCCCATCTTCTGCTGGATCTGGGTTTTGGGCCCCCCCAGTGGAGTTACAAGATCACCCAAAGCCTCCCCCAGCACTGTTACCCTCCTGCATTAAGGAATTCAAAGAAATTCACTTATTCCCAGCCCTGGGCAACACCCACATCCTGTAATTACACAAAAGTAATTACAGAACAGTTCGAAGCAATTTTATATGTAAATAAACTCAACTGAACAAGAACCTGCACTGCTCACTGTGTCACCCTCCAGCCCAGAGCCATGAAGTCAAAAACCCAAGGGCAAACATCCCTAGGGCCAGCTCTGGGTTTATGGAGGATGTGGAGATGAGCAGGGCAGGCAGAAAAGGAGGTTGATTTTTAAAAATACAATTCAGGTGGGTTCAAGCAGTCCTGGAGGGCTCCCACATGTCCCAGTCCCAGCACTTACAGAACTGAGCATTTCTTTACCTCCAGTCCTGGCTGCTCCTGGTCCTGCTCCTCCTGCACACAAACAGAGAACAGACACATCAGGGCTGCAGAAACCACAGAGCTGCTTCTTCCTCCCCTGTCCCCAATAAATTCTTGAATCAGCAGGTCCCAGAATGCCCCATTCTCCCTGCCAAGAGAATTCAACTCGTTTCACAACCAAGGTAAGAGCAGCACTTTGCCGTGGGTGGGAGGGTGGAGTGTTTCTTTCCAACCTCTAATTTGCCTGGCACACGCCGAGCTGGGAGGAGGGAGATGAGGCTCAGAGATCCCAAACCCCAACAACAGGGCTGGGAGCTCGCTGACATCTGACTGAGGGGGAGGTGCTGCATGAACGGGATCAGGATTGCTCTGAGCCCCAGTTCTGGCTGTGCTGGGAACAGGATGAGCACAGGGATTGCTGCAGGGCTTTGGGCTGCTCTGGGAATCCAGTGGAGCCCTGGCAACAGACAGAGCTCTGCACAGTGCCCAAAATCCAGGGGGAGCTGCTCAGAGCCAGGAGAATCCAGCAAGGGACAGGAGAGAGGACAGGAGAGGACAGGGGAGAGGAGAGAGCTGTTCACCTTCCCCTCCTGCTGCTCACTTCACCCTGTTCCTCACCAGCCCAATCTCCTGCTCCACCTTCCCATCCCATCCTCACCTTCTCCTCCAGCTCATCCAGGACCAGGTCCTGTGCCTCGTGCAGAATTCCTGCTGGCAGTGTCTCCTTGCCCCCTCCGGCTGCACGACGCACTGGTTTGTTTTTCTGCTGTTGCTTTTTTGCTGCCTCTTCTTTTGTCTTCCCCTTCTTCCCCTTTTTCCCTTTGTCCTCCCTGTTGGAGCCTGCAGACTGTGGTGACACAGGTGGTCAGGGTTGGAGAGCAGAGCCACCACACCCTGGGGAAGGCACAGCTCCCCCCTCACCCCCAGCAGCTTCATGATGAGCTCCCGGTCCTCCTCGTCCTGGTCCCTGTACTTCTCCTTCATCTTCTTCATTTTACTCTGCAGGAGGAAACACCACCAGCTTCAGAAATGACAACTTTTAGCAGTTTTGCAAGCACAGATACTGACCCTATAGATGCTCTACCCTTCCCAGTATCCCAAACTCTTTCAGAGCAGTTCACCAGTAACCAAGGGACTGGTTCCAGTGAGCTCTGTGCTAACCCCCACCACCATCAGCCTGAAACCACTCAAAGCATCACCACGAGCCAAAACCCACCAGGCAGCCATGGGTGTCTGGGAAATCTGGGATTTCTCTCCATACTTCCACACCAAGAGATCCCCTGGGCCCTGCCCACCTTCTGGCCCCTCTTGATGGGCTGAGGGGCTGGAGCAGCCTTGTGGCTGTTGGGAGCAGCTGGAGGTTGGGTCTCTGGCTCTGGCTCCTTCTGCTTCTCCTCACACAGCTCCGAGTTCTCAGAGTTCTGCTGCTTCTTTTTCTTCATTTCTCTAAGGAGAACAATCACAACAGCCTCATTTGTTGTAATGAGAGAGGCTGCTGCTCTCCTGACAGCATTCCCACCCTGCTTCCCTGCCACAGGGATCCAGAGGAACACTGGAAACAAGCCCTCCTCAGAAAAACCTCTCCAGCCCACGAGTGACACTGTTCCCAGGCAGCATTCCCAAAGGACAGGAGCAGCACCTCACCCTGGACAATGGGCATGGATCAACCCAGGCTGGGAGTGGCTACAGATGTGCCTGTGCCCAGGACATGGGGAAGGAATGGGGAATTTGCCCAGAGCAGCTGTGGCTGCCACTGGATCCCTGCAAGTGTCCCAGGCCAGGCTGGACACGGCTTGGAGCAGCCTGGCACAGTGGAAGGTGTCCCTGCCATGGCAGGGGGTGGAATGGGATGGGATTTAAGGTCCCTTCCAACCCAAACCATCCTGGGATTCCCTGGAACTCCCTCTGGCTCTCACCTCCTCTCCTTGGCAGAGAGGTGCCTGCGGCCCTGGGCCCTGCTGTCACTCTGAGGAGGGAAAGGCAGTTTAGGGCAGATCCTGCCCAGCAGCTCCCACTGCTCTGGGCCACCCATCAGAGCTGGGACCTTACCAAGCTGGGCTCTTCCTCTTTGGGGATGATTTTCTGCAGGGATCTGTGGGGAGATGGAAAAGGAGCTCATCAGCAGATGTAGGGCAGCTCACCATGGACACACCAACCACAGCCCAAACCTGGACAGCTTGGCTGTAACCTTCAGCTCTCTAGACCTTGGCAATCCCAGCTTTGGTGACTGGAAGTGGCAGGAATACTGGGATTCACTTTAGAGAACAATCTCAGCTCTCTGCCAGCTCCTCTCACACAGCCTGGGCACCGAGGGATTCCCCATGTGCAGCTTCCCCATGGGGCACACAGCCCCATGAGCACCCACCAAGGAGTCCCACTCCAGGGACACCAGGGACATGAGCTCATCCCACAGCCTGGGGCAGGCCTGGCAGAGCAGAGGCAGCTCAGGGCTCAGTTTCCCAGGTGTGAGCAGCCCTGAAAGGAAAATGAGGCAGCATTCCCATGGCTGAGCATGGAAAGAAGGGATGAAAACTCATCCCAGCCTTGTCCTGGCAGTGTTTTAGGAGACCCTCAGGTGCCCCCAGCTCTCTCACCTCTGGGACTGAAGGTGTGACAGGTCGATTGTGGTGTCTGGATAATTCACCTCTTCCTCCTTCACTTCA